TTTCTTGCAATGCAAATTCGGTTTTACTGAAGTCGATGGTTTCCCGGGATTAACGCACTATTTCCGTCGTTTGGGATTATCATATTGTCAAGATTTATCATTGCCAATAACAATTTTGTACAGAAAATTTTTTATGTCGTGAAAGCAAGGTAATAGAAATCTCGAGTCTATTTTTCTTATTCATTCATATAAAACTTATTAATCTAATTTCTGAATCTCACCCAATTGTTTCAGTAAGATAGATAATGCTTGTCTGGTAATTTCCAATCTTTCTGCCAATTCTTCTTCGGGATTTTTGTTCAGCAATTCTTCTAATTCATTGTCATCAATTTTTTTCGATACACCTGAACGATCGTCGTCTTCCAAATTAAAATTTTCGATTTTAAATCTTTGGTACCATTTTTTGCATGTTCTATAAAATACAGCATTCTCTTTCAGTGTCACAAATCATTTTAGTAGCTTTAATAGATTTTTTAAATTGGAATGTAAAAAATAAGCAGTGACGAAAATGATGCTTTTCGCCATATTGTTTGAAATTGTTGCATAGGATTGGAAACTCTTAGAGCGATTCTTTTATTGCGATTCTTTTTAAAAACAAAACAACGTTTTTTCAGATGGCACCACAAACGAAATAATTTGAATTCAATTATGATTGTAGAAAAAAAAAGGAAGGAATTTATTTGCATCTAATAAAATTTTATTGAAATCTATAATAAAATAATTATTTTAATTTTATAAAATAAAACTTGTAATATAATTTAATAAATGTAAAAATGTATTATAGATTTATACTGATATTTTATATTAACATTTCTATATATTAAATTTTGTTTCTATGAAAATTTAATTATGTTCTATATTCAAAAAATAATTCTATGAAAACATGACTTACAAAGAATTTAGTTGCACGTGCAACGATATAAGATACAACTACTAACTACTAAGTAGCGAAGTATAAAGATTATAACCGCACACGAGGTTATTAATCGCGTTTTATATATTCAAATTTATTTATATTTTATGATAATTTTTTTTAATTTATAAATATTTTAAAAAAATGGTTGTATTTACTTGTAATAATTGTGGTGAAACATTACAAAAACCAAAAGTTGCAAAACACTATGAATTTCGATGCCATACCGCGCCTTTTTTAACATGTGTCGATTGTTTGAAAGATTTCAGGTAAATATTAATAAAAATGTATATATTTTTACTTTTTTTTATAATTTCTAATTAAATTGTATTTTTATTATTAATTAAAGAGGTGAACAATATGTAGTACATACGAAATGTATAAGTGAAGCTGAAAGATACGGAGGTAAAGATTATGTTCCGAAAGCTGGGGCAAATAAGGGTGAAAGAAAGCAACAGGAATGGATTAACACAATTAATAATATTCTTAATAATGAAAAAAATTTATCAAAGACGGAACGAAACTTTTTAAATTTATTATCAAAGCATGAAAATATTCCACGTAAAAAAGTTAAATTTTTAAATTTTGTAAAAAGTGCTGTAGGTCAGAAAATACCATCGGTAGTAGTTGATAGTGTATGGAATAAAATAGAAACAGCTTATAAAAATAATGTACAAGATATTAATAGTGAAAAACAACAACAAGAAAATGGTAAGTTTTTGTTATTTGATTTAATATTTATTTAATTTAATTTAATTAAATTTTTGATATACATATATAATATATAAATAGGTAAAATGAATGAAAAAATAAATAATGTACAAGATACAAGTATACATCAAGAAAATAATATTATTGAGAATCAAAATAATGAAAATATAGACAGAGAAAATCAAAATGAAGACCAAGATAAAAATAAGTTAAATAACAATGAAAATGGTATTGATAATACTATTAGTAATGCTAAAAAGAAGAAACTTAAAAAGAGAAGAATATCTGAAACAATACAAGAACAAGTGGAAGAATTTGTAAAAAAAAAAAGCAAACAGGATGAATTTACAAAAGAATCAGTTTCTAAAAAAAAAGCAAAGATGTTGGTATAGAAAAGTTAGACGAGATAAAAAAAATAAAAATACTTTATCATTTGAATCACCAATTAATCAATGTGATAATATTATAGAAAAAACAACTTTCAATTGGAAAGGTATTATTTTAGACATAGTAAAAAACAAAGGAGAAATTTCCTTAAAAAAATTACAGAAAAAAGTAATTTCACAATATATGAATTCCTGTTCAGATATTATATCATATGAAAAAGCATGTAGTAAATTCAACAAAAAAATAAAAAAAATATCAGAAATTATCATTTCTGATGAAAAAGTAACTTTAATTTAATTTAATTGATATGTATTATTATAATTTTTCAATATATAATATTAATTCAATATTATAATAATGTATAATATTATTAATGATTTATCATTGTTTTAATAAAAAATTAGACTATTCACTTTATTCAAATGAAAAAAATTTTATAAAATATTGTTAAGTAAAACATGTAAAAAAACATTTATTATTTTTTTTAATAAAATAGAATAAAAATTTTTGAAAGTATCACAGAATATATGTAAAATTAATTTATCAATAATAGATATTTTAAATATATAAAATATAATAATAATTATATAATATTATATAATAATAATTTTTTACAATAAAAAATTGTTGTGTGAAACATTCATTTGAAAATACTTCAACAAAAAATATAGAACTTATAAATAAATATTTTTAATATCATTTTTATGAATTGTACTTCGATATCAAAATTTTAAGATATGTATAATTTTTACAGTTCTTTAATGAAAAAATTGATATTGGAATATGATTTAAAAGTCAGTAATAAAATTTAAAGATTTAATGTTTATATTAAATGTTTGAAAATTTGTCTAAATACCAAGCATGATTACTCATGGTAGCTAAAAGACCCCATGTAAGTTCTTTAGAATCATGAGGTCTAAAACTTATCAATTGTTGATCAAATAATTGAGTAACTGTACCACCAAGAGCAGTAAGAATTGCAGTTCCTGCACAAATGTCCCATTTTTTTATTGCAGTCATATGGACATATGCAGTTACATTTCCATTTAAAACTTCTAAAAATTTATAACCTAAACATATATAAATTTATTTTTAATAAAAAAATTTAATTCTTTCTTTTTTATGAATTGAGATCTTTATAATAACAAATATTAAACAATAATATTAACAAAATTACCTGCACCAGCTGCAGCAACAATTTTTACATCTTTACCAAATGCAATTTTAGAAACATTATAAATTTGGCCAGCATGTGATTGTGATACAATCAATATCGGTATTCTTTCATCTTCTAACTAATTTTAAAAACATTTTTAAATTTTGAAGGATTTACATATTTCTTATAATACTTTTATATTTATTACCTTATGCAGTATTTGTAAATTTCTTGAAATTGCATGATTAGTCCATGACCAAAATAGACTAGAATTTTGCTTTGTTTCAAATGGTTTATATATAACACCTATTATAGGTTTTCCTTTTACAGCAATACAAACCATAGTTGTAACATATTGTAACAAATTTTCTAAAATGAAAAGAAATATAATAATAAAATATATAATGAATATACACATATATTTACATATATTTTTATGGAATAATGAAAATACCTGTAAATTCTTTTGTTGCATCAAGAGGATCAATCCAGACTGTAATGTCATTTATATTTATAATTTCATCCTTAATATCGTAATCATTTAAATTATTAATATTATTTTTTATATTTGACACTGTAATTTTATCACAATCTTTTGATGTTTCCTCTGATATTACTGTTATACTTGGAAACGCTTCTAACAAAGAATGAACCATTGCACAGTGTGATCTATAATCTGCTTCTGTTACTGGATCATTTATACCTATCAAATTATTTACGTTATTACATTTTATATTTTATAATATAAATTTTATTATAAATATATCTCCTATATATATCATTTATATATATAAAAATTTATTATATATATTATTATATTTATTATATATAAAATTTTTATTTCATGTGTACATGTAAAAAATGTAAGTATTTAATATAAGTTATTACCTTCTTTCGTTTTCCCTTTACTTTGTATTTCGAATTTTGCTTGATTGTGAACTGCAATTACTTCAGAACCACCAATTTCTGCTGCTTTTATAGCAGCAATAAGAAGTAATTTTAAAGAAATATTTTTATCCTGTAAATCTGTATACAAAGTTCGATTTGTATATAGGTATAATATACTTAATAATATAATAATTCCACAAAAAATTGTTTTTCTTGTTCGGACACTCATTTTGATATGTACATACAATTCTTTCTTTTTTTAATTTAATGTATTCGCGTAACTATGATTTATTTTATATAATGAAAGATTTTAATTATTCCATATGCGGCCATTTTTAATTTATTTGAAATTTCCAATAATATTGAATCTTTATATTCTATGTATGTATAAAATTGACATTGAACCTGAAAATTATACGCCACCTGTAATTTTTTTTTTGGTATTTTATTATATATTTTATAAATATTGATAAAATTATATATGTTTATAAAATTAACATTGTAATCATTGATTCTATATAAAATAACTAATTTTTTAATGTATATTTCGTAATAAATTTGTTATTAAGGTTATATTTAATTAGTTTAATATATTGCAAACTTGAATTGTTAGCGTAGTATTATTTGCAAATAAATTTAAAATTTTGAATTTTTTTAATATGTAGTACTTAAATTGAAGGAAAATTAAGTTACAATAAATTTATTATTGAATTAAATAATTTATTTTAAAATGTATCGCACTTTTAATGATGTATTAAATACAAACTTTTATATCATATTTCTTATTTTAAATATTTTGTCATGTATATTATTTTAAATATATAGTCTTATATAATGTTAAATCGATTTTAATTAAATTTTATTCAGATCTCTATGTAATTAATGTAATTAGAATTTCTGCAATGAATTTCTAATATCATTAAATTGATATATTTTTACACATTATTCTATAAAAGGATGAATTTTATTGATCAATAATAGTACATTTCAGAGTTTTAATGATATTATGTGCAACATAGTCGATTTAAAATATTTTGATTTAAAAAATAGTGATTAACATCTTGATTGCCTCCAAAAATGATTGTGTAGAATTAAATAATACTATACATTTAAATTGTATGTACTTGTTTATAATTAATTTAGATTGCACACTATAATATTTAATTAAAATAATTACTTATATTTTTCACCTAAGTAAATAATACAGTGAGAGATGAATATTAAATAACACAATAACAAATGTAATAACATTTTATATCTTTAATGATACTATTTTAATAGTGATTACTGTAATATATTAATTTGATATCATCTTAAAGTGCACTTTCTACATAAATAATGAAACATCTTTGCTTGTTAATATCATGTGTGCACTTTTCTTGGCTGCATTTTTATATTTTATAATTTATGTTTTTTCTATTTAACTGAGTGAGATAATATGTATCTTTTATAATAACAATAATAATTTAACTTCATAACTCACACATTTTACATCACTTTTTTATTATAATAATAAGTGAAATGCAGCCTTTGTTTTTTTGTTTTCTAACTTATGCACCTAATTCTTTAAATATATGATAAAGTTAATTCAGCAATTTTATCTATGAAATTTTAGTAATTACTTTAAGACACAAAAACTGTCACTCCACTTGGTCCAGCTATAACTGCACATAGACAAGTTGTTTATAGCTTTCGCAATTGCTGTTACACATTGTCATCTATTTAAAACATAATAAAAAAATGCTATATGATTTTTGTAGCATTTATTAAAACATTGATTAAATAATTTAAAAATTATTTAATTATATTATATGTTAAAAATAATTGTAAATATAGTAATAATATATTAATTATATATATTATAGAATACTTACCATGATACCACCATTTTGTTTTCTTTGGATTTTTACTACATGTTTTTACATAAAAAGAATTATCAGGTGGCCTTTTCTGTAGTAAAAAAATTTTTTTAATATTTTTTTATTATTATTATTTATTATTAACTATTATTTTTTTATTAGATTTATTCTTAAGAATTTTTTTTACCTTCTCTTTACAACTACTCAACATTGATACAATACTTAAACAAATGCTTTGTACACTCAAAGCTGGAGACCAATCTTCAGTTAAAATGGATAAGCATATGTGGCCATTGCTGTAAATATGTGGATGTATTGGTATATTTCCACCTATAAAAGTCACTTCTGGTGAGTCAAATGGATATTTGGAACTGAATCTAAATTGCAGTTGAAATTGTTCGCCTTCATATAAGGTGCCTTTTGCACCTTCCATGTGAACAATCCATTGCGTTAAATTTTGACTAGTAAGATCTTCATCTACATGTACACCTGGTGGAGGTTCACGTATTAAAGATGTTAATTCTTTCTGTAATCTTCGCTGAAATAATATTTTTTAAATATATAATCAAACTATAAATTTGTAATAATATTAAAATTATGTAAATATAATAATTATAGTGTAATTTAATTATGTAAATATAACATCAAATAAATTTATAAAAATATCAAAAGAATTATTTAAAATTAACATTTTCATTTTAATATTAGAATTTAATTGCAAAGTTTATTGAATACAAATTATTATATTTATATTATAATAACATCTCAGAATTTTTATATAATTTTATTATAAAAAAAATTGTATTTTAATTTCTTTATATTCATGATATATTTGTATAGATTATCATAAATATTGATATAAATAATAAATGAATATAAATAATAATAATATACACATGTATATAATTAATATACTGAATAATTCTTAAAAAAATAATTATGAAAAATAAAATTTTTATTATTTTTTAAAATTATGTTATAGAAACAAAATAAAAAAATGAAATTAAAATTTAATACATGTATAAAATAGCGCGTCTAATTTGACATAAAACGTCATCCAAATTTTGACGAATAATACGCGAATTATCTTTTTAATAATATGTAGTGATATTTTGCGAATCTTATAAAACATACTAAATATAGAATCTAACTAAATTCCATATTATATCAATGTTATAAAACACGAAATTCTGATGTGTATTAAAAAAATTTTATTATTAACTTACCTTCGATGGGGACATTGCCGCCATTGTCGTTTTATCGCTCATTGCAACATACATGAATTACTTGCTTTATTCATTTCTCGATTTAAGAATGTAAAGTTGCTGCAACAAGAACGTTTAGCATTTTTTCCAAATTTTGTATTATATCATCATAAGTTAAAAAAAGAGGTAGTACGATAGTTGTAAAATACGTAGCGATGACCTACGTAAATTAGTTAAATTTGACAACCATTCCCACATACTGAGGCGAACACACAATATAGGATAATATTGCTATATTATGGTCAGTAAATATTTTATTAAAATGCATTATAGATGATGATTTTATAAACTTGATTATTGTTTAAATTAAATAAGTCAAAAATCGATGTTTTTGTTCAAGACTTTATAATAGTATATAAATAAAAATTTATATAAAGAAAACTAATTATATAATATAAACTAAAATGAATAGACAAATAAGTGTTTTAATTTCTTATTTCATTTTTTTTAATTGTTACTTGAAGTTTATGTAAACAATAAGACAATAAAACAATATTATAAAAAGTCAAAGGAAACTTGTAATTCTTAATATTTTTCATTTATATTAAGTTATAATTATTTTAATTATATCAATATTAATCGATATTAGACATTATCTAAATAACCAATGGAAAAAATCGATTGTATTACAGATCTTATATATTATTTATATGTTATAGTATAATATAAAAATAATCAAAGATATAGGTGTTATAAATTTCGTGATACTATTGTAAATAAAATAAATAATTTATTGTTTTTTATTAATTTTATAAAAAATTTATGATTGTGTTACAGCTTACAATAAAATGATGAAGTTCAGTATTAAATCATTTCAATTATGATATAATATTTGTTAAAAAACTTCTATTTATGAATTATATATACATTTAGGTAAATATTTTTATATAACTATTAGCTATATAATATATAAGTGAAATATATGAATAAATAGTATTAATATTTTTATTCCTTAATGCAATATTTAATTTAAATGTTAATTATTTTTATAAAATGTACTGTATTATTATGAAAAAAAAATTTTTAGCCTCAATGTAAGGAAATGATAAATTATTAATGACTTCAGCCGAACACTTTATTAGTTTAATTACTGTGGCAAGTGCTAAGAAATTAGCCACTGCACTTGTCTTGTGTTTTATTTTATATCATGGATTAATGCACATTATATATGGTAAAAATATTTACATTTTTTACTTTTTTCTATTTGATTTATATAAATGAACATTAATAATATAAACTATGTGATTAAACATTTATCTTTATTTCTAAATTTTAAAATTATATTATATATTTAATGATTATGATTAATTTAGGTAGTGATTCTTGTAAATGGTTATTAACAGAAGGAAGATATAAAGGAGATAAAGAATGGCAGCCTTATGGTTGTATGATGCATTATTATACACAAACGTAAGAATTTAATTATTTAAATATTTAAATATTACAATGTATAAAAAATATTTTTAAAAAACTTTTTTTTAGAGACAGTCGCAGATGTTTGAGATATCTAGCTTTCATGGGCCACCATAATCATTTTGTATTTATTGGAGATGCTAGAATCAGACAGTTATATAAGTCTTTTATATCACAATTTATAGTTGATGGGAAAGCATCTGACCTAACAGAATTACCAGACAATTCTGATTTAAATTTCAATGATGCACAACTTAGACTAAATGTACAATTTTTGTGGAGACCTCAATTGGATAATACTATGATAGAAGATCTTAGAAATTGGATGGTAAATATTTATTTTGATTATAAAAGCATTTATAAAAATTTTAGAATTATATGTATAATGATTATTGTTAATGATAATATTGGTAACTGATATTAATGACTGTTATTTTTCAGAAAACTGATGCACCTAGTTTAATTATTTCAGGCTGTGGAGCAATGACAATTCTTGCTAATAATAATAGTGACACTCAATTGTATTCTGAATATAGTATGGGATTAGTGAGACTTGTACAACCAGTAGATTTTTTAGCCAAAAAAAATACAAAATATTTATGGATGTTGCAAGATCCTGTAGTAAAAGAAAGATTGTCAGTTCAATTATCAGGCATAGATAATAGACAGATCAATTTATGTAATAAAGCAGCAATAAAGGTAAATTTTATTTTATTAATTTTTTGATAATTATTAAAAAAAATTATTAAAATATATTGATCATACACAGATATTATCTCATAGTGAGGTTCATATATGGGAAAGTAGTAAACTTGTTGGTGCAGGTGTATTGGAACAAAGTCCAGATGGATATTTAGCTAGCCCTTTATCTTTACGACATAAGATTCAAATATTGTTAAACACTTACTGTAATGATCATATGAATTTTGATGATGGAAGTTGTTGCAGTTATCCAGAACCAGCAACAATATTGCAATTATTAAGTTTGTCAACACTTGCTTTATGGTAACTTTTTATATATTAAAATATTACATGTTAAGTAAATAGTAAATAATAGTTCATTACAGTATAATAATTGGTGGTGGAATGTGGTTGTATAGAAAGTTTTGTCATCATCGAACTGAAATTTCTTACTTACGTGTTGAAATGGAAAATACTGAAGAAGCAAATAATTCTGAAACTATACAAATTGAGCAACCCGAAGTACAAGATTTTTATACTTTGATGACATCTTTAGCTCTCTTGTCAATTATTTTATCTTATTTTTATTTATGTGATAGGTAAATATATTTATGTCGATAATAATGATATTCGTTAATAATATTAGATTTTTGTTTATATTTAGGACAAATTTCTTTATGAAAGAAAATAAATACTATAGTGAATTTAGTTTTTGGTTGCCATTAGGATATATATTAGCTCTTGGTTTATTTTTTACTGAAGATAGAGAAAGAGGGCCAAGAACTTTAAATCGAGAACAAACAGATGAATGGAAAGGATTAATGCAAGCTGTAGTATTAATTTATCATGTTACTGGAGCTAAAAACGTCTTACCTATTTATATGTATTTAAGATTAATTAATTCTGCTTACTTATTTCTTTCTGGATATGGACATTTTTGTTACTTTTGGCAAACGGGTGATGTTTCTTTAATAAGATTTGCACGAGTATGTATTAAAAAAATCTAGATCTTATTAATGTTAATCCTGCAATGACTAACATCTTTTATAACTTTAGTAAAATATTTTTATTATTGCGAAATTATTATGTATATGTATAAATTTATAAAATATTTTTTTAATTTGATCTGAAAAAACTTTAATGCATAATTTAATGAAGTATGCCATTGCAGAGTTAACAATAAATATTGTGTTTAAATTACATATTACATCTATTTATTATTTTGCAGGTAATGTTTAGATTAAACTTCCTAACTGTGTCTTTATGCCTTTGTATGAACAGACCATATCAGTTTTATCACTTTGTTCCCTTAGTCTCATTCTGGTTTTTAGTAATTTATTTCTTAGCATGGTTACCACCAAGAATATATTCTGGTAGTTTAAATGAATATGGACCGAGAGCTTTGCTTTATCTTGCATTGAAACTTTTAGGTCTTGTATCAATGATCACAATATTATACATGTCAGAGGTATCAAATTATAAATTATTTACATATAAAGTATACTATAAATTACAAAAATGTACAATGTATTATTATTTAATAGGTGTTTTTTGAAAAAGTGTTTGTAACAAGACCTTGGAAAGCATTGTTTGTTACAACTGATGATGATATACGTGAATGGTGGTCACGTTGGAGAGTGGATAGATATAGTGTGACTTGGGGAGTAACTTTTGGGGCAGGTCTTGTAGCTTTGCAAAGAATAGATCACATTCCAGGAACAGCGTTATCTTCTCTATTAGCATTAATTTCTTTAACTGCTTATACTACTTTTACAATATTATGTCATTCAGTATCTGAATGTGAAGAAATTCACTCATATGTTGCATTTATTCCAGTAATAATTTATGAATTATAATTTATTTTCAAATTTATTTTCAAACAATTAAATTTCAATTTTTTAATTACAGATTATAGGTTATATTGCACTTAGAAATGCATCATTAGCATTACGTGGTAAACATTCAGCTCTTTTGACTGGTTTAGGTCGTATCAGCTTAGAAACTCTAGTCGCACAAGGTCACATTTGGTTGGCAGCAGATTCACATGGTGTATTAGTTTTATTGCCAAGATTTCCAGTATTAAATCTTTTAGTTACATCATTCATCTTTATATGTGCAAGTCATGAAGTAAGTATTTAATTTCTCTTATGTCTAGAATTAATAACAAGTTTATATCTAATTTTATATAATGTAAAATATGTATATGTATAGTATATGATATAATGAGATATTTCATTTATTTTGATAGATACATAGATTAACTCAAGTATTAGCACCATATGCAGTACCAAATGATTGGAAACTGGTGGCTCGCAATTTATTATTATTTATTGCAGTTCTTGTACCAATTGGCATTCATGATGGAATGTTTTGAAATATATATTTTTATAATTAGTCAAATTCTATATATAAAAAATTGCTTCATGTATATGTAAGTATATATAAAATATTTTACAATATAATTTTGCAAAATGAAATTCACAAAAAATTATTATAAAGAATATACAAACTAATTTCTTTATAGATTATAAACGCGTTCCAATATTACTGGTAATTTTTTCAAGCATTAAAACTATGAAGCAAAAGTTTAAAGAATAATTACATATTTTTCCTTAAAAAAAGAAAAAAGATATGTCAAATTGAATTATATTTTAATTCTCCAGAAAATCTTCATAAATTTAATTAATGAAAGCAGTAAACGCAAATATCATTTCCATAATTTAAAAATTATTTTGATAAATTTCTTCAAAGAGATATATTTTTTCAGACTTTAAAACAATCTTTGTTAGAATTGAAACAATAATAAATAAAAGATGTCCATTTACTCTAGACTTTTGAATATTTGTTTTTTAAATAAAAACGTTTGTCATTTAATCAACGCTGAATTCTTATCATATACAATATATATAACCATACTGCATTCCTCAGAATATAAAGACAAGATTTCAATGGCAAAATATTATGTTAACAATCTATTATCTTATTTCATACTAAATAAGATTATTGTAAATTAAGTTATTATACTCCAGAATACTTCAGAATTCCAGACAATGAGAATAAATTTATCAGAAAAAACTTACAGGACATCTAATCTGATTTTATTTTCCAAAGATTCCATAAACTAATAGTTATCAAAAA